TTTCGGATTTCTCTCAACTCCTGAGCTCAGCTACTAGTCTTCTTGGGATAGGCCGAGCCCATGGCTGAGCCGGACTGTGTGAGAAGGTCCTAACCATTTCTGCCCGACGCAGGCCTCTGCTAAGGTGCTCCAGAGCTCCCCGCGGGCTGACAGAGACTTTGTCAGATCTACACCTTGGCCACTCCCCTTCCCTAATCCTGCTTCCTATTTTCCCTTTCATAAGGGTTACACCTCAATAAACCCTTTACACTCCTAAATGTGTCTCAGCGCCTGCTTTCCCCAAGACCCAGCTGACACAGATGAGACGTGTTTGTTGTTAGTTTTAAGCAACCTTTCATGGGTGAAGGAAGGGGATATTTTAGAACTGGCTTTGAGCCAGTACCAGCAGGACGCAGAAGCATCCTGGGTGCTGGGGACCAAGCCATACTTCCACTCTGGCACGTGAACCAAACAAGCTTTTGCTTCTTGCTATTCTCCTTGGCACTGACTGTGCCTTGCTGTTATATAACATGGCTTGAGTGCTGCCACTGGCTTTCTCAATTAGTGATATGTTGGTTGAATCCAGAGTGTGATTGAAAACAAGGTCACGAAATCCATTTCCAGCCAGGCAGTTAGTTTCAATCGGGTTGCCTGGTTATAAATGGGTCATATATCTGGCCATACATGGACTCCATAAGCCCCTTACCCACACACTGAGGCATGACTTAGGACAGCCAGCTCTCAGCCACCTGGCAGACTGCCACCCTTCCTGCAGGCCACTTATAAACGCCTTATACTTGGTGTTGGGTGAGGAAATCTTAATGTGGTCGGTCAGTCGGTGACCAGGTGCTTAACTCAAATCCATCAATGGAAGGGAATAGCGTTTGCTTTTTGTTTTTGGAAGCATTTCCTAATTTCTTATTAGAAGAGCAATACCCGCCTACTCATTCATCCATCCATTCACCCACCAAATATGTATTTACCAAGAGATGGTTGTTACTTGCCCTTCTCTTGATCAGACTCTTGCAGCTACACCATGGCGCTATGCTTTTGAAAAATCCACATGCAACTTTTTAGTATCAACTACCAGGCAGACACCTCTGAGGTTCATTACTTATTCCTATTCCATCTGTCCTTTGTGTCAGACACATCAAGCCTCGCCCTGGCCGGTGTTTCTCAGTGGTTGGTGCATTGGGTTGATTCCTGGTCAAGGAAACATACCTGGTTTGCAGGTTCAATCCCCAGCCCTGGTTGGGGTGTGTGCCGGAGACAACATATCAATGTATCTCTCTTACATCGATGTTTCTCTCTCTCCCTCTGTTTCCACCTCCCTCCTTCCCTTCACTCTGAAAAAATCAATGGAAAAAATATTCTCAGGTGAGAATTAAAAACAAAAAATCAAGCCTTGAGTCAATAAGAGTAGGGACTCTTGGATTAGACAGTGTTGGGTTCAAATGTGGGTTTTCCACGTACTAGTTGTGTGATCTTGGTATGGTTACTTAACCTCTATGGGTCTTAGTTCATACCTCTGTAAAACAGGTTACTAGCATCTATCATATAGAGCTACTGTGAGGATTATATGAAATAATATTTACAAAGCACGTTAGCTAATATTCACTGAGTTTGTACTCTGTTTCTGAAGTCAAAATATTATTTTTAAATATCCGGCCCCTGGACAGATGACATTTGTACTGCTGCAAATCAATCCCCATAATAACTATTTGCCTTGATGAGTGGATTATGGTACGATCTCATGCTTGAACAAAGATGACTTTGAATACAACCTGTTTTCTTTGATTACCAGATTGTTTCTAAGTTCATTCAAGTCTAAGGGCCTTAATTATAAAAGTAGCTGTTGCAAATTGATTGTAATACAAGAGTTTGGATTCACTTACCATGATTAAAATGTGGGAATATGACGTAATGTTAGCTCTCTGTTCTTAAAATATTGGTAGATATTTTGGGCCCAGGAAGCTCATCCATGGAGTGGTTGACTATTCTTAACAGCAATGAGGACCACATTCATTAGGTACCATAAAAGGGAAGGTCCAAAGGCTACCTCCCCAGGTTGGTCTCAGAAGACAGGATGGATAGTTGGTCCACCTGCTGCGATGGTGCAGGTTGAGACTGGCTCCTCAGAAGTGCTGCTTGTCCCTTGGCAGACAGGAAAAAGTTGGTTTCCTTGGGGTCCATAGGCTGGCAGAACAACCCAACTCCCACTCATTTTTCCACAAACCTTTACTTGCAGGAGACCTCCGTGCCCCCTTACCCTCTCCACTGGACCAGGAGCGGCCCAGAGCCCACTAAGGCGTGTGTCCCTTAGGGAAGGCTCCGCTCATCTGGAGGGAAAAATTCTTCCAGTTTCATACGGAATTAGGTGGTCAGGCTTTAATTTTTAAAACTTTCTATCTCAAAATTAGATTGTTTTCAAACCGTCCTCACACTGACCAGGAGTTTCTGGAGGGCACAGCCTCTATCTTATTTATCTCTTTAACCCTCAAAGTGCCCGGTACAGACTTAGTATAGAGTAGGCATTTGGTAATGGTGGTTGAATTAAGTTGAATCATTATTTTAAAAGTCCTGTTATAGCATCATCTCTTAAAGCAGCTTGCTGCACCACACACAAAGTTACTGTGCAGTCAAAGGTTGTATCTGTGTATCTTGTGTTGGACAACAAAGGTGTTCCCTGTTGATGGGTGGCCAATTGAACTTTTGTAAATGAATCCTTATCCCATGTACTTACACTATCATCTGGGAGATGCTAACATCCAGAATTACGTTTTGTTTTTTCTTTCCCCACCCATACCTTTTACCATCCTCCCTAATATAAAAATCAATAATTCATTGAACTGTGATATTTATCGGTCATCTATAAGTTGTTAGAGTAATTTTAGACTGTTAATCCACACTCCTACCACAAATATTTAAATGCAGTGCATGAGCATTGTTTAATATCTACTCTAAGAATCCTATTGCAAAGCTAAGAATCACTTTTGAATGATTTAATATTCCTTCAGCTTTGGTTTTGTCTGGTTTTCTTTCACCAAGCCCCTAGCTGGATGCTCACAGCTTTTGTGCAGCCCTGACTTTACTGTCTCGGTGCTTATGGGCTTCACTGGCTAAGCTTACACTGAATGCCCCCCCCCCCAAAAAAAACACAAAAAACTGGGGAGAGTTGAAATGAAAGTGAATAATAAGGGTGGGGAATAGTCAACTCAGATCTGAGTAGATAAGATCCTCCATAACGTAGATTTCTGATGATAGACTTCAGTCCTATCCTCCCTTTACTCCTGTCACCAAATAATATAAATTCAGAGATCACTTCCCAAAAGTAATATTCCCATTTACAAAAGAATTTTCTATAAAGTTCCTTCTAATAACAAGAACGCCTGGAGCTTCTAATATAGGACTTAGTGTACAATCATTCCAAGGTGATACTGTGTACCAGGTGCTACGGTAGGTGCAAAGGTGAAAAGAAAGATGTCACCACCAGAAGCAGATATGGCGCTTGCGATATGGCGCTTTGATGTGGGGGGAGAATTCGGAGGCTGGAGGGATGGGATACAGATGGTGGGGCAGCAAGGGTAGCTGACTCTCCCCTCAGCATTGTAGCCCAGTCATCTTGTAAGCCTGGCTGCTCTTGGAGAGAATGAGCTAGGCAAAATGAAGTGCACAGCCTTTGCCAACATTTGTCAAGCTCAGTTCCTCTATCTCAGGGGCAGGACAGCCAACAGCCCACACATGGGGCCTAAAGTTAGACAGACCTCAAAATACCCGTGACTGGATATTGGTTGAGCATGAACTAGGAATGATTACACAAGGGGCTGGGGTGACTTTGGAAAGCAGGCCGCAGATAGAATGCCACAGTTCCTGCATTCACTGCCTTGTGCCCGGTCCTCCCATGATACTGGCCTCTTTCTGAGCTGGGGGGTGCAAAAGGGAACCATTAGCACAAGCCATGAATGACCCATAGCTCTTAACCAGCCCCAGAAGCAGGCAAAGGATCCTAAATCACAACATTCCTTCCCCAGGAATCCCCTTCCCACATGTTCTCCACATCTCCACACCTGCCTAACCTTCAAGACTTCCCCCAAGATCCACCTCCCCAGGAATAATTCTGATTCCACCAGCCCAGCTGTGTCAGGCATTAGTCTGAGGGTTCTTCTCACACCATCCCACTAAATCCCCATAGCAATCTATCGACAGGTACGATTATCCCCATCAAGAGGACACTAAGGCTCTGAGAGGTTAAATTTGTCCTCCTGGCTCCAAGATGACAGAGATAGGACTGAAACCCCAGTCTGCATGACTTCAAAGCCTGTGTTCTTAAGCACTTTCGACATGATGTCACCGCCCCAGCATCACCCCTTTTTCTGGCCCACGATGTTCTGGACTTGGTCCCACTTTGTTGGGTTAGTTCATATGCTTGTAGAATGAAGTGTTTATTAACTATGTATAGCATTTCCCCACCTTCATTGAAGGTTGTTTGAGGAAAGGGATGACAACTTCTACTTCTCCACTTCTCTTAGGAGGTCTCTAATATGAAGCGAGGTATATGAAGTAATTAAACATTTGTTCATTCATTGTGGTTGAAGTCAGACAACAAGAACATGGGATTAAAAATGTCCTCAATACCAGACACCATACCTTCAAGACATTATTTTATTAAACTCTATTCTAATCTACTCTCTCTGAATGCTTTGTGATAGGTCCTATCATCTTTAGTAGGGACAATTTCTTTGCTTCTGAGACCAGTTAAAATGGTGTAACTCACTTGTGCTTGGTGGAACATGGATTTTCCACACACTGTATTTCTCAGTTCTACTCCATTCCTGACACACATAATTGGCTTTCTGATTTCACAGTTAACTCAGGTTCCAAAAGGCAACCTTTTATGACATCCAATATTTTTATTTATTTTTTAAGTGTTCCTTTTGATTAATTTCAGGGCATAAGTAGATCTAATAGAGATGAGATTGAAAGGAAAATCTTGGCGTCACATCAATGAATACAGACCATGCCTGGAGTGGGAGGAGAAAAGGTGCTGCCTCACGGACAAAAAACAAAACAAAGCAAACAAACAAAAAAAACCAAACTGGACCCAGAATGAATATAAAGACAGAGGATCTGGGGAGTGGAGGCACCATCAGGGAAAGACTCACTCCAAGTGCCTGTAGCTGAGTCAGAATTGTCCCTCCCAAGATGAAGCTGCTGCTGCTGTGTCTGGGGCTGACGCTGGTCTGTGCCCATCATGAAGGAAACCATGATGTTGTGACAAGCAACTTCGATATATCAAAGGTAGAGTTGGGAGCATAGGGTCTTCTGACTTTGGGGGTGGTTTGGGGGAATTCTGAAGCAAGATGGCCCTACAGGAGGCCAAGAGATTTTTGACATGTTAGGCAAAGGGGGAGGGTTTCTGACCTTGGATTAAGAGGATTCGTACCATGTGGAAAGGTGATAACACCTGGAGACCTCCATTCTCATTGGAGGACAGTGGAAAGAGCCTTTCATGTGGAGTCAATTGACCTGGGTTCTAATTCCACCTCCATATCACCACTGTGAGTCCAGGCCCATGAGCCAGAGTTCAAGGATATAGATTTTTATGTGGTGTCTCACTCTTCTTTTCTAACACAACATTTTACTGATTTATTGCAGATTTCAGGGGAGTGGCATACCGTTTTCTTGGCCTCAGATGTCAAAGAAATGATAGAAAAAGATAGTGTCATGAGGGGTTTTATGGAATCTATCCACGCCTGGGACAACTCTTCTCTGACATTGAAATTTCATATAAAGTAAGCATGGCCTCTTTTACTTGGGAAAGGGAAAACAGAAGCCTGAGTATGGTCTTGGACCACCAAATACATACACACACACACACACACACACACACACACATGCATGTATATACAACATTGTGGGCCTATATTCAAAATCAGAGTCACACATCTGGCCCTAATGTAGGACTGAGGAATTTGCCTGTTTTCTGGATTCAGAGATAATAATTGGTGACAGAAATAAATTTAAACAGGAGTAGAGGAGTTCAGAGATTGAGGAGTATCAGAATCATTAAGTAGTATGGCAATATAGTATAGGTTAAGTGCATAGGATTGGGGATCAACAGCTTAGTTATCTCTTGAAGTGATCTCTTACTAGTTGCGTGACCTAAAAATTTTGTCTCTTTCCACCCCAATTTTTCCTTGAGTAAAAGAGGATGATAATAATTCTCTCTCATGGATTTCTTTTTTTGTGAAACAATGTTTATTGAGCACTTATCTGAGAGGCTGGCACATCTGAGAACTCAGCTAATTATTTAGGCAAGTAGCTACGGTAATAATAATAGTGTGAAGTGGTGGTAGAGTAATAGTGACATCAGTAGTATACTCCTTTGTAAAGTAGCAAATAAAGTGAAATGAGTTAAATAAAAGCTGTTTCAAATTTTACCAGAAATGTTCTACAGTTAATTGGAACCAGACCCTCAAGTTGCAGGTGGAATGTGAGGGAGCCAGACCCATCAATATCTCTTGGGCATCAGTTCATTTTGTTTTACAGGGTCAATGGAGAGTGTACTGAAATGTTTTTGCTTTGTCATCAAGCAAATGAGAATGGTGTATATAATGTTATCTGTAAGTATACAAAAATGTTTTTGTAAATTCCACTTCCAACCATAAGAAATTAATAAACCCCCACATTCTTTTTTTTTTTTTTTAATATATTTTATTGACCTTTTACAGAGAGGAAGGGAGAGAGATAGAGAGCTAGAAACATCGACGAGAGAGAAACATCGATCAGCCGCCTCCTGCACATCTCCCACTGGGGATATGCCCGCAACCCAGGCACATGCCCTTGACCGGAATCGAACCCGGAACCCCTCAGTCCGCAGGCCGACGCTCTATCCACTGAGCCAAACCGGTTTCGGCAACCCCCACATTCTTAAGATCTTGATTAATTCTTGATTGATGTTTATGTAATAAAAATGGGGCCATCTAATAGCCAATATCCTCAGTTTGGGAGAACTTTCTGTGTAAAAGCCAATGCCTGGTATAGAATACTATCAACATACAATGGCAATTTGGTCATTTGTACCACCTGCAACAAAAGGAAGTGGGCATAAACAAACAAATGGACAAAAACATACATTGTCAGGACAGCTACTCATCCTCTGCCCACTTTCTGATTGTTCTGGTGTCCATTGCCACAGCACATTGCCCACATAGAGTATTGAGTATATAATCCAGTGGGCTTATAGACAGAACAGAGACACATAGTTGGCAGAGATGGCTGAGGGAGACAGGATAGCCTTCAGGAGGATGATAAAGGGGAAGCGGCTGCTGTGGCTGAATTTTTCGACCACTAGTGGTCAATGACAAGAAGTGGAATTTCTACTAGTAGTCGATTCTACCCTTAGAAGTTGCTATATACTGGCTATTCTTGCTGGGGGGCGGGGGGGGAGGAGTGAGGGGGATGTGGGAAGAGACTGGACAAAAATTGTGCACCTATGGATGAGGACAGTGGATGGGGAGTGAGGGAGGAGGGTGGGGTGGGAACTGGGTGGAGGGGAGTTATGGGGGCGAAAAAGAGGAACAAATGTAATAATCTGAACAATAAAGATTTAATTAATAAAAAAAAAAGAAGAAGTTGCCATATGAAGCTCAGAGAGATACCAATGAAAGGCCTTAAATATCACTCTTTATCTCTTCCAGGATATGCACTTAAATTTGCTCTGTGTCAGAGAATAGATAGAGTTTAACTTGTTTCCCATGAACCAAAGAAGTTCTGAGCTGTGTTCTGTTTCTTCCACAGATGCTGGATTCAATACATTTCGCATAATTGAAGTGGTCTATAGTGACTATATTATTTTTCATCTCATTAATGTCAACAATAAGCAAACGTTTGAGATGCTGATACTCTTAGGTAGAGTATATTTATTCTCATTTTGGGGTGGGGAGACAGGGGGAGAAAGGTAACCTGAACAAAGTAGCCCACCCAATCTTATCCTGGGAGCTCTCTTCTCCTCTGAAGAGAGGGGCTCACCTTGGGTGATCCCTCAGGCTCAGCGATGGGAAGATGATGAAATCTTCCATCATGCCAGAAGGATATCCTAAAAATGTCAAATTCAAGACAGGTTATAGTCCACCCCTAACTTCTGCCTAAGCACCAGTTGGTGCCATCCATTTCCATCCGTCTGCCCCCATCACACCCAGAGCCTCAGTGACCAAGAACACAAGACACAGCAGTTATTGTCACTTTTCCCACAGCCCGAAAACCAGATGTGAGCCCAAAACTCAAGGAAAGGTTTGAGGAACTTTGTCAAGAATATGGAATTCCTGAGGAAAACATTCTAGATGCGACCGAAGTCGGTAAGTTTAGCTATCTCTGGTTTTCTCTTCCTAAATTCCCATGTTTACTGGGTGGAGAAATGCAAGAGAAGGTAACACCTCCAATCAGTCCCCTCTGTCCTGACCTGGGAAATCATTTGATCTCCTGCTGAGAAATAAATGGGTTGGTGTTGGACTGTGCTCTGCTCTGTCTCTGCAGATCGCTGTCTCCAGGCCCGAGGGAGCGATGACGCCCAAGCCTCCAGGTTGGTGATGTCTGATGGAGAGGGGGTGGCCCAGGGACCACTGCCTTCCAACACCATTAGGGGTTTGTGTCCAAAGATTACAATAAAGCCCTAGCCAATTAGGCTCAGTGGATAGAGCATCGGCCTGTGGACTGAAGGGTACTGGGTTCCCGGTCAAGGGCATGTACTTCAGTTGCAGGCTTGATCCCCGGCATGTGAGAAGGCAACCAATCGATGTATCTCTCTCGCATTGATATTTCTGTCTCTGTGTCTCTCTCCCTTCCACTCTCTCTAAAAATCATGGGAAAATATCCTCAGGTGAGGATTTAAAATTTAAAAAAAGATTACAAATAATTGGGTAAAGAAGTTTGTGGAATGAGCTTGAAATTTGGAATTGGGGGTCCTGGGTTCAGGACCCACTCACTCCATGAGCTGTAGAGCAAATGACCTAAGCAATTAAAAGGAAAACAATGACATGTACCTTGCAGAGGTACTGTGTGGATATCCTGCTGGTGAAAGGGCCTCAGTAATTGATAAAGTCCTAAAAATCATTAAGACTTAAAATTTGAAATAGGAAAAGAATACTAGGGTGTGAATATGGAACTCAAATGCATTTCTGTCTTTTGTCCATCTTCCAAGGCCAAAATGTGTGGTCTCACTCTCCAATATTTGGTAATACTGTCTCTCCTTGAACTGCACATCCTTAATGTCTGATTTGTAAATAGAGCTGTCTAGTCTTCTAGTTGTCTTTTACTGGGAAACAGGCTCTAACTTTCCTCATCTGTTTCCTATCTTAGCGTTATAGTGGGGCTTTATTCAGATAATATATGGGAATATCTTAGCAACTATGGCTTGCATAAAGTCAGCATTTAATACCATGTAGCTATGGTTTTTGCCATTCTTCCTCAATTTATCAAAAATTCCTTAAAACATTTAATGCTGACAATGGCAGAAACCAGCCTAGGGTCCCTCATTGATTATTCCTCTTTCTTTCTCATAGACTCAGTTGGGGGAAAATTATGAAATAGAAAAACATGCTTTTGCTATAGGCCGGACCTAATTTCTCTTGGCAGCCATTGATTCAATGACCTCCTTCCCCCTATTCTGGAAAGAAACACAGATTACAGTACAGATTGATATCTACTTCTTCACCATTTTGCTCTGTAATAAAAATTCTCTTTGTCTTTAATTCAACCCAGGAAGTGCTTAATGAATTCTGTGTTCTCTCTCATCTGCTTGTTTAGTGCTGAGTGAATGCTTCCTGACCTGGGCTCCGGGATCGTCATTCCATGGTCCCTGTGTCAGCCTGTGACAAGTTCTGCGACCTGATCTCCATCACTATCATCCAAGAAGGCCTTATCTCTGAATCTAAAGGATCTTCTCTAATTGTCTAGACAGATTCATCAATTCAACAAGAATCAATCGTTTTCTCTAAATTCCCCACTCTCTTTGCCATACCCAGAGTTCTATCATGAATCTGACCCTCCTATACCTGATCAATAAATGATTAGTCTTGCAGTCACATGATTGTCTTTGTGTGTGAGAGAGACATGGGGCTGATGGCAAGTGAATGAGGAGACTTCATGGCCCTGTACCCATAGTGGTCCTCTAGCTTCTCGAATCTTCCTGAATTTCAAGATTCTCCCTCCCCAGCAGTCAGCCTCTGTCCCTGTGCTTTTGCTCATCCTTTGATTGGCCAATTTCTCAGTAATCTGATAAAGCAAATTGTGAGACTTGCCCTACAATTTGGCCTGATCCCAGCATTCTCTTTCTCAAGAGAGTATTGAGAGACAGTTGCTGCTGAGGCTGATCCCAGCTCACCAAGTTTCAGGACAAACCTCCACATCCCAGCTTCCCTACCTCATGCCTTCTATGGCACAGAGCATCATCCTTTCATGCTCTCAGAAAACCTCCTTCTACCAGAGCTGTTATCTACCATGAGCGTGTTAAGTGAGATGCCAGGAAATGTGAACAATAGAGATCTTTAGCCATCTGTACTGGTACCGTCAGGAATCATCAAGGAGGCTAACGGGTGAGCGTCTGGGCTTTGAAGAAAGGAAAGTTAAGGTTCTTCCTCCACTAATAATCCTTTCCTTACATCCAATGATAAAAACAGTGTCAAAGTTGGACATTGGTCCTGGAAGAGAGCAACATGGGGATGGGGTTGTCATTCACGAAGTATGTCTCAGTCATTATGAACATAAGCTTAATGACAGGTAGGCCCCGTTGTTCTGTTGGACATAAACAATCTCATAAAACCAGATAAAACCAGATTATCATGTCCGTCTCTCAGCTAAACTGAGTGACTGCTGCTTCTTTATCAAATATAGCTTTATACTCATGCTTATCTTCACTCCCTCTAATAAGGTTTATGGATGTATTCAATCATAGACTTCCCCTGATTTCTGACAACACCCAACTTAGTGCTTCCTTAGATCTTCCCTAAATCCTGTAGTAGGTTCTCCCTAACATGCTCTGACCGAGACACCCACAGTTCCCCAGAGTGAGCATACTCCCTGGCTGCAATAAGCCCCAACTTTTCAAGTACAGGTATGTCCCTGATGGTCTTTTTGGAAGAGCATTAACCTTTCTAGGACTAGACCCCAGGTCCACTCCATGCATGCACACCCAGAAATTATGGGAAGCACCAAAGTAAATCACTGATGCAGGACCTGGTTTAACGCTTTGCATCCTGTGGAGCTAGGACACAGGGTGCCTCTAAGGATTTTGGTCTGAGCAGGGGAGAGGATGCAATTAACATTTACTCCAGTCAATTGGAGGAACCAGCTTAGTGGGGAATGATAAATATCTGTTTGGGCATTCATTAGTTTATCTAGGTAGGCTGCTAAAAAAAAAAAGGAGAGAGAGAGAGAGAGAGAGAGAGAGAGAGAGAGAGAGAGAGAGAGAGAGAGAATTGTAATCTAGTATGGTTTAATGAAGATATAATTAATGTCACTCTCCTAAGCACAATCTGAAGTGAGCATTCCAAGCTGGCTGGCAATTCTATTCCACACAGTCACTGAGAACCCAGTTCTTTATATCTGGTTTCTCCTCTCACCCTGGGTATTGTTTTCAAGAGTGTGGCCAAAGCTGAGTCAGAGGAAGAAAGGGATCAGAGAATGTGGTGGAAGCATGGTCTTATGTCCACTGTCATGTCCACTGTCCTCTGGGCCTTGGTTCGGGGAGGTTATTCCTTGTTCATATCACGGACAGGCACACCCACCCTCTGCCTGTGCAGGCTCAGAGAGATTATTTTGAAGATCACGGTGGAAATATTCAAGGTGTGCATTGGAGTGGTAGTGGTGGGGTGTATACACATGCATAAGCCTTCTGTTGATGTGTATGTGAGCTTACACCGTGTGCCTTGTAGGTATGCCACTGAATAACTTGACATGATACCGAAGCATAGAGTAAAAACAAGTTGTTAAATAGAAACGTCACCAGGTGAATAAGTCAAGAGGCGAGTAAGTCACTGGCAAGTGCACTGCCTCCCAGTGGCAAAGGTTTAGAATATTCAGGAAATTTATTGTGACTTGGTAAAAGCTAATGGACTGAGAATCCAAGATGTGTTCCATAACAGAACATCCCCCAAATCACCCAGCGGGCTCAGGGGAGGTGAAGGCTTGATTCTGGGTGCGTTTCTATGCGTTCACCTTAAAGAAACCCGTTCTCAGGTCAAACCAAAACAGATACAGTTGTCTTCAAGGAACAGGCTGTGATGAAAATAAATAAATAAATGAATATATATATATATATATATATATATATATATATATATATATATATATATATACACACACACACACACACACACACAGACACACAACACGCCTGTTTCTTTAAACGGGTTTTATTTTTCATATAAAACAGGAAAATATCAGATGGGGAAAAGGTCCCACTCAATGGCAGTCACAGTCACCCCAGCCACAGAAGGGAGTGGCAAGAAATATTCAAAGTGATGAATATCAAGAACCTACAACCAAGACTACTTTATCCTGCAAAGCTATCATTCAGAAGTGAAGGCCAGATAAAGAGCTTCACAGATAAGAAAAAGCTAAAGGAGTTCATCACCACCAAACCAGTATTATATGAAATGCTGAAAGGTATCCTTTAAGAAGAGGAAGAAGAAGAAAAAGGTAAAGATACAAATTATGAGCAACAAATACACATCTATCAACAAGTGAATCTAAAAATCAAGTGAATAAATAATCTGATGAACAGTATGAACTGGTGATTGTAATAGAATCAGGGACATAGAAAGGGAATGGACTGACTATTCTTGGGGGAAGAAAGGGGTGTGGGGGCGAGGGAAGAGATTGGACAATAATCGTGCACCTATGGATGAGGACAGTGGTTGGGGAGTGAGGGCGGAGAGTGGGGTGAGAACTGGGTGGAGGGGAGTTATGGTGGGAAAAAAGAGTAACTAATGTAATAATCTGAACAATAAAGATTTAACTAAAAATAAAATAAAATAATAAAATAAAATAATAAAATAAAATAAAATAAATAAAATAAAATAAATAAAATAAAATAAAATAAAATAAATAAAATAAAATAAAATAAAATAAAATAAAATAAAATAAAATAATAAAATAAAATAAAATAAAATAAAATAAAATAAAATAAAGAAGAAATGTTTTCCTCTGCAGCTCTCCCTCCAGGCTGTGTGCCGGGAACCGGGGCCGGGGCTCCTGAGCTGGGCCCCCCCCCCCGCCCCCCCCCCAGGGGCAGAGGGCCGGCCCAGGCCTAAGGGGGTTTCCAGGGGGGACGGCAGTCGCGCTGTGGGAGAAGCTGCCACCTCGCCCCCCCCCCCCCCCCCCCCCCCCCCCGGCTCCCGCCCCTGGCACCGGAGTTGTCAGCAGGGAGTCCGATGGGCTCTGGGCGGAGGCGCGGGGCGAGGACTCGGGCGAGGCACGGGGCGCTAAGGCGGCGGGGCGCGGAGGGGGCAGGGCAGCTGACTGGGGGGCCCAGGCTGCGCGGCCAGCAGGGTGTCGAGCGCGGCGAGCGCAGATCGCAGGTTGGCGCCCGTGTGCGCCAGCTGCCAGCTGAGCCAGGAGCGCTGCCAGGCCTCGGGCTCCCGGACCTCGGGCTCCCGGACCTCGGGCTGCGGGCCAC